ATCATACAAACGTTTGTTTTATTTCTTGTAGCGACAAATATATACATATTATTATTTATTAATAATACAAATTAAATGCTGATTGTTGGTTTAATGGTTTTACGATACTGTGTGGGGCTTTGCTTTCATTTTTCAAGTCTCAACCCCCCCTGTCACGTCCCTGTTGCTAAACCACGCGAGATTTGTACGAAATGTTTTGAAGGACTCGTAAGCAACATTTTACCGGGTGATAAAATGCTGCATTTCGCATATTTCATTTGTATTTTTATTTTAATACCCTTAACAAAGGGTTAAATTTGTTATTGGTGCAATGGATATGGCGTGAATGGAAGAGTAACAAGGCCGAATTGTTGACAACCGACATGGGATGACAAAATGACGCCGAATTTGGACAAAGTTGTGGATTTACCTTGTCGATGGTTAAACAGGTATGATCTACTTGAAACCAAGTTGAAACTTGTTTAAAATGTTCTTGATACCATTATGTCTGAGATGATTTACATTTTTTGTAGGATGTCGACGAGATCGCCGATAAACAGCGGAGTAAAGTGGAGAACTTGGCCAAATACGCCCATTTGCAGGAGGTAGGCACATTTCAAATTATTATTTCGGTCAGAAAATATTAACTATTTTACACCAAATCAGTGGTAATATATTTAAATAAGTACCAATTATGTTTCTATCAAAAAGATTTAGGGAAAAAGGTAATGTAAGTCCACTGCTGTTTATCTGAAGTTGCAAGCCACAAATTGACGTTTAACTATGATTATTGCATGGTCATTTTCTTGTGAAATATTAGTGCTAGGCATTTCACACTTACCAATGATCACCCCCAAAAGTACCATCTCTGAACCATATAAGCACCTCAGAATAGCCAAAGCTTTTATGGTTTGGCAGATAGCAGTATGGCGAAAGCGTCGTTTTTGGGTGTGGTCAGTTTCGGACGTTTCGTCCCGGATTGGGGTTCGGGCAGCGTTACCATGTTGACCGTCATGGTCAACTTGCCCTAAAACAGTTGAGATTATCTGTCCTAAATGAAATGCATACAAACTCATATACAGGTCCTCGACTACAAACATTTTAGCATTTTGTAGATGGAAATTTTGAGTGTAAATTTTATACATTCATTGCACTCAATTAGACTAAAAATGCAATTATAGGCCCTCTGGCTGGAATTGAGCCTGTGATTCGGGTGCACTTTAATATAGTATATATTCAATATAGTATACTTCACTTTAATATAGTATATATTCATTAAATTGATGTTACAGCTCGACAACTGAACTACGGTTAGAGCGCTGCACCGGAATCGCAAGGCTGCAGGTTCGATTTCTGCCAGAGACCTATAGCTGCATTTTTTGCAACTGCTCCTGGCCTAGACCTAATGAATGTATAAAATTTGCATTGGAAATTTTCCTCTCCAAATTCTTAGACCATACATTGTATATGATATTTAGAACATGATAATTTTATTTTTACTGAATGAGATTGGCATGATTCTAACAAATATTAAAGCATTTTAAGGTGGTGGAAATAATAGGAAACAAACTTTCATTTCATATAATCTCAAATTCATGTGTTAACTGACATAAAATAAAGCGTGTTTTGACCGAAAGGAATGAAATGTCCACCATTTTCAATTATGCATGTCACATAACAACAGGGGTTACAGAATATGTTTATCTAGAGACTCAAAACTATACTCTGTCTGCCCTTTGAAATATCAAGATCACTCAAAACCTTCAAAACATCCCCCAGTCAATATTTGGTCAGGGATGAATACTTTTGAACTCCTCAACAAGAACAAGTTCTGTGATTGGTTCACAAATAATAATGAAACACAATAAAACTAAAGAATAATTTATTTGACTGACAAATCACAAACATTTATTACTTGTATTTGAGCAAGGCAATCACAGAACATGCTCACATTAATTTGTTTCGTCAAAAACCTTTTATACTCAATCCAAATGCCGCGCTTATCATGAGCGAGACTTGTTGCAAGTCTCTCTCTAATTCAGTTTTGATATGGTATATCCAGTCAATTATGAGATCAGTGCATGGCTTGGAAGGAACAACTGATCTCATAACACGCCATCGAAAATTAAGTGCGAGGCTTGAAGCAAGTCTAATGATATTTTATATAAGGGCTAGTATACTCAAGTATACACTTTAGTAGATCACTAGCAATCTATGTGGCTTTTAATAATAATAATTATTATACATTTAACATGTATTCTCGTTTCTAATTGGTCAGAAAGCACCGGCTAATTTTCAGTATTCTGCATTTATTACATATTTTCCGCCGATGACGTCATCAGCGTCCAATAATTGTTTTTTTGGATCGAACTTGCGTCCAAAAAAAAAAATTATTGGACTCTCTCGTGCCCAAACCCTTGCGCGGCCAAAAGCTTGAACCCATAAGCGCGCAAAAAAACAAACAAACAATGGCGTACAGCAGATTTGCTTCGCTGAATGAAAGTGAACTCTCCAAATTATTGGCAGATAAGGATAGTGAAAGCACGAAAAAAGCCACAAAGGGGTAAATAGAAGTAGAAATAGAATATTTAGCTGACCTTTGAGTTTGTGCAAGGTGTTTGATATTCAAATTGTACTTTTCCTACCTCATGAACAGGAATCGTCTTATACATTTCTCATGTCTTTAAATGTATAATAAAACAATTATTGGATTCGGCTTTCGCATGATATCAAGAATTATTCAGACCTCGGTCTATGTTATCCGCCTCAGCTTCGCTTCGGCAGATAACATTGACCTCGGTCTGAATAATTCTTGATATCATGCTCAGCCTCATCCAATAATTGCTTATAATAATAATAATAATAATAACGATTTAATAGCATTTCCACATAGTGGCTGTTTTATGCTACAAGTGAGTTTGATTATAAGATAACAAAGTATACAATACATATAACGGAGTATATAATACGACACAAGTATTACAGTACGTAGTATGTTGTACATTACAGTATTTAACAATTGTCTGAATTGACATTACTTATACACAGTAAAATATATTACAGTTATACACACAATATCCACAAAGTTTATGACGTGTAACTAATTCTGTTCTTGACTAATGTTTTAAAGTACTTGGAGGAGTTTCTGCAATAATCTTTAAATGTATCGCAGTTTCGAAGATTCCAGAGATGATAGGGACTACTAGACGCCAGGCAGATGATGATCGTAATGTTCTTATAGGAATATATTCCTCTAATTTTAAGTATGAAGGCCAGTCATCACAATTCATTGCTTTGTATGCTAATTTGGCAAGATGATAATTTCTACGTTCGAAAATTGGAAGCCAACCGAGAGACACAACATCAGCGAATCTAGCGTACCTATTAAATACAAAGCCAGCAGCAGCGAACTGCACTCGTTGTAAGCGTTTTAATAGGTATTCTGGTACTGGACTAGACACAACATCATTGTAATCAATTTTTGATAGCAAAAGACAGACACTCTGCGAGTTGCTTCCGAATTTTAAATGGTGCCAAATGTTCCAATTTTCTCAAGACATGATGTCGCATAACAACTTGAGATCTTTTTGTTTACATCATCATTCCATTTTAAATTTTGATGCAATGTAGTACCAAGAAGAGCCGCACATTTAGTTCTTTTAAGTTCAATTCCATTAGCATGAAGATGAACAGAACAATCTTCATCAAGTTGGTGCACACAGGACCAGAACTTATTAGAACTAGACCAGGTGGAAAGTTTATCTAGATTGGATTGAATTTTCTCTTCACATGACTTTATGTCAGCTGGCTTACAATGTGCATAGATGGTAGTGTCATCGGTATACTGATGTGAAGATATAGAGTTGTCAAGGTTTTCAGAGAGATCATTGACATATAGGTTGAAGAGAACAGGACCAAGTATAGACCCTTGTAGAACTCCAAAAACAAGGAACAGGCTTTTGATAAGTGTTCATAGAATCCCTTTTTCAGGGTTTCTATATATCCACAAAAATGGATCGTAATAGTCCGTTATTGCAGTTAAGTCAGGTAGTGAGGGAGCGATTTCTGTTAAGCAGCACACTTCTGTCTCGTTCTTAAAATAAAATAGAAATGAAATTATAATGAAAAATGTAATTGAAAATTCACAATAGGATTATTTAAACAGATTAATATACAAGGTTTTATTAATTGTTAATGTATCTTTTAATCCATTAAGGAACTGCCAATCATTGTGGACCAGATCGTAGTAGAACCAAGTCGATGCTTTAGTTTCTTTATTCTCATAGATCCAGTCTAGCTGTCTAGTCTTTTTTCTGCAGATCTTTGATTCGACCAGTGCTGCAAGGTAAGGATCCATTCTGCGGCATAGTCTGGTGAGCCCCCATTGCCAATTACAAAAGTGAAAAGTGATTTTAAAGTCTCTATATCGGTCATAGGTTTTTTCCAGAATATTGATACGAGTTCCCGAGGCCAGAGTTGAATTGGGTGGAATATGTCTCCATCAAATAAAGCAAGTAAAGAAATTCGTCGTTCTATTATTTCGGATTGAGTCTTGTGTTTAAACTGATTGTGGTAGAGTTGCAGGAATACATTATGTGACATGTTGGTTGGATGGAAATCTATAGGTTATGAATAATGTGTAAATTATGGTGTGTATATAATACTAAATGGTGTTTAATAAATGGAGTGTGAATGGATCAGTTTGAGGATGATATAGCCTTATAGACCGGACATATAGGTTGATTTATAGGGGACTAATTATAAGCTCTCTGGTTTAAGTGGTTAAAAAAATTATTTTATTTATTTATAAGCTACAATTGTATTATCTTACTAATTATAAGACAAAATGTAATTGTAGTTAGAATGTATAATATGTAAATATGAATTTACATAAATAAAACTATATATTATTAAAAATTACTTGTTTATATGGTTTTACTATAGGACTCGATGTATGTTCGTAAAAATAATGAAAACGCTTCAATATTAAGCCAGAAAACTGTAAAAAAAAATTAGAAAATGTGAACGAATAGCAGTCAAAACTAATTATTAAACAAATATTTATTTAAAAATTACTTAAACAAACAAAAAAATGAAAACTTGCATAAAGTTTAACTGTATGATGTCCGCTTACTGAATCAGATTTCGCACGCTTTGTTTAGTGTAGTCATGGTGATGAATTGAAGTTAGAGTGTACTGGGTACGAGTTGTTAATTTTCAAAATGGTGTAGAAAGTGTAACCACATGTGAATAGAAAGAAATTGCCAAAAATCAAATCGATATAATATTGTATGGATAAGGATTGCAGATTGAAATAAAAGTGATTTTAACACAACATTGGCGTGACAAATGGTATGTATAAATGTGCATGTTGTATAGAAATCTCAACGTGATATAATACGATAACTAGAAAATACATGCATGCAGAAACCCTCGCATTGCTGACAAAACCATTGTATTTTCCTTGCATGGATTTACCACAAAATACCCGAATTTTAAGTTATCTATGTATATGTAGTAATCATTGGAAAGCACTAAAATCATGTGCTCTGTAGAAATGTTGCAATGCAGTATAGTGAACCAGTCTGTTTGAAATGAACACTAATGTTTATAATTTTAAATCTGAATAACTTGTGTAATTATAACTATATTAGGATAAGGTATAATATAAGAATAAAAATTATGTGACCAACTAATATAAATTTACAAATTTAAAAAGTGCATATGAAAAGGAAACCGAGACTATGTGTCTCGGTATAAATTGAGTATAAAAACTCTGAAGATCTACAGTGAATAGCTATAATACAAACTTTGTAAGGCAGTAAATAATATTCTTAATAGCCAGGCTTTAGTCTGACATATTAGTATATGTGACTCTTACACATTTCTGTATGATTCTTATTGAGTATTTTCTAATATCTCGTGTATTTCCATGGTTTGAAACCATAGATAAGATTATTTAAATAATGAGGGTATATCAAGTTGTATTATATGTAAAAACCCTTCTCCCACGGTGTATTCTATAATTTTAAAAATTTGAAATCTTCAATATAAAGTCCTAAGTAATGCATTTAATTTGGTATATAACTAAGTAATTCCTTACGTTTTAAACCAGTACAAATATATTGATATAAATAAAATTGAACATTCCATGCAAATTTATGATTTAAACTTTGAATATAATCATCTTTCAACTAACAGAAATATTTAGACCGTTGTAAATTGTTCCATTTTTTAGTATAACAAATTGCCTTAATATACACTTAGTATACAATATACAATACACACTTAATATGCAATATACATACAATAGCTTATAATTTTGCATGCAAAGTTTTGTTGGTCAGTAGTATAGTATGTAGTTTAGTAGAGTTACAGTAAGTTTTTGTAAGATTAGGGATGCGCTTGTTATGGTATTTACTGAGTATGTGCTGTACAATTTTGTCCGTTCTTGTATGTTTGTTGTATTTAGTTGAGTAGTAGATTGTAGTTGATTGTTGTCGCTCATGTTTGTTTGTTTGTTTGTTCGTTCTTGTCTATGTTTATGTCAGTTATACGAAAGGAAAGGAAAAGAGTTGTCTCGTATAAGTTTGAGAGGGTAGTCGAGAGCTGTGAGTCGTAATGTGAAAAGTTTCTTAATAAAATTAAAATCGTCAAAAGTCGAAGAGAAACTACTGTATCATATAGTTTCTGTCTTAACAAGTCTGTTGAAGATGTGATGAGGATGATTGGATGAGTAGTGAGGGTACATGTATTTATGGTTCGGTTTCTGATAAATTTGATAATGTATTTTCTTAAAGAGAATGGAGTGATGATTAACTCATTCTCATCCGGTCGAAAAGTAGCAATTTTGAGTGGTGTTGTTTTAACTGCCTATATCTTTCAAACTATACATCGTACGGAAACGGAAGTTGCATCGTTCGAAAGAGAAGGTCTTCCGCTTTCCAACGATACCAATTTCAAGTTCATCCCGAGCAGAGGAGGTCAGACAAGCAATTAGCGAGTTGTCACGTGAGCTCTCAACCAATGAGATCGCTCTGTTTTCCATCGTGTTTTCTACAGAATTTGGGCAGAAAAATTTGTATTCGACGGAAAATAAATTGAGAAAAAACATTAATATTAAAATTTTCTTGCAAAATTTCAAGTGTAGTAGTACTACTGCTAAAGATCTGGTGATATTTGCAAAAATCTCTGAGGTAAATGTCATTTTGATGTTTGAAGTTAGACGACTCCCCGCGACGTGTTGACTCAAGTCTAAATATGTTTACAATGTTTAAAATGAAATATCTAGAATTCCCATGGTTTGATTTTCCCCATTTTTGGCAGTCGTCAAGAAAAAAATATAAGCTTTAAATCTGCTGGAATGATCCCGCAGCAGTTTTCGAGATATTGGCCATTGAAGCGACTATTGTCAACTCAACATTCGCTAAAATGGCGTCTAATACCATGGCAAGAATTTGCGCCATCAAAGATTATATTTTCAATGAATTTTTGTTAAAGTGTTAAAATATTATTTAGAAGACTTATGAGTTGTTTCAATATTTTTGTAGAATTTATATCTGTGCGATTTTCAAAGTTTTTTCTGTCTTTGCCCGACGCGACTGGATCGTGTACATATTCCCATACGAGCTGATCACCTGATCCTGGGTTTTTGTTGCAAATCGAGCTGTGGAATCCTCAGCATGGACCCATTTAAAACCACAACCCATTTAAAACCAGCAGAGAGCTACACTTGTTTTAAAACAATAAAACAAGTTTTTATTGTATTATCATGTACATCATATATCAAATTATAATTATCATATAGGCATGTTATTGTGGTAGAATTGGGACAGAATTGGATTATGTGGCAAAGAATTGGCACAGAATTGGATTATGTGGTGAAAATATTTTCTTTTTTTGCACAAAATATATATTAGCCAAACTTATATCACATCACCACTTTCATACCCAAATCCACCCTGCTAAGAATCTGTGGACTTCTTCCTGTATAAATCTCAAAGTCGCAATATAACCATTAGGACTGTCTGCAGCAACCCACAGACTTATCCCCACATAGTAGGCCATCTTTCATGAACTGCCTAATCCCCAACCTATTCCTTGATTTGACAGTGTGTTTGTCAACACCAATATATGGCTGGTACAGTTGTTGATGCAGTTTATTGCTGTAGTCTTCAGTGACGGGATCTACCATATTCAGAAATGCCACAAGCACTTTGTACCTAAACCGAGAAATTATTTCTCTTGCCCACAGACCATGATATAAGGTTTTTACACTCCAATAATTTTCAATCTCACTGTCGACCTTTACCAAACCTGCATACACTAAAAAAGGCAATCAACCTCTCAATCTTGTCAAGGTTGGTGGACTCCAAGACCCTTCTTTATTAGTATTTGGGGTGATTTTTGGGTTGTTTGTATGTGGGCATATCTATTGGTGTGGCCAGGAAACTACCTCCTGAAGCATTCCCTTAGTAAAAAAGAGCCAAATTAACTCAAGCTCACAGTTCATACTTCTGGTGAAAGCTTGATCGAAATGGATCTCGGACATGTCGGTGAGGGGCAAAATCTGGGAGAATATTCCTAGCGTCAGGATCACCATATCCGTCATGTACTATGGGGCCTAGTGGGGGTGCTAGACAGCTAGCTTTCAAAACCTTGGATCCTAGTGGCTGGGCTTCCCTCTACCTCCTACTCATCCCCCTACCTTCCTTCTACACTTACATGTTTTCCTAATGGGGGTTGGGGAGTGGGGTTCTCATGACTAATCAGAACTGCTACTTCCCTTAGGCTATGAAACATTGAAACAGGAATGGCAGCTAGGAACGGGATCAATATCTTTGTCACTGCAAATAAAAAATTTTTTATAGACATAATTTACATGGCATCACTTGAAATTATAAGAAGAGCCAAACTAGTAAGACATAAGTATGAATACTTGGTCTATTATCTAGTATTATGTATGTAACAAACAACCAAACATGTGCTCAAGGTTCATTTTACTTTGCCTAGGAATCAGAGTTTTTTATGCCTTAAACACCATAAATTTTCGTGAACAATATAAATAAATACCATTTATATTTGTCAATTTCAGTATGGAACGATTATTTCAACACAAAAAATGCGATATGAGGACATACTTGGTCATACTAGTAAGCTATACCAAATGCAAATAAATGTACAACGCCATGGCAACGGCAAAACATTGAAATGGAATGTCTAAAAATGATCAAAATACTTGCCTTGAAACTCCAGACACAACTCCTAATGCCAGGTTGAGATACTTGTCTTCGTACGAAGACATATTCCGTCTTTACAAGCACTATCAGTTCGCCTGTGCGCGATAATCGGGAAAATTGGTCTAAAAAGGTTTGTTTTTCTGCCTAAGCCAATCATCTGTATCTAAGGTAAAAAAAAACACTTCCGAAGTGATTTCTGCAGTCTTTTACCAGGAAACTGTAATGCTTTACTAAGAATTTGGCGTCCGAAGTTGGCCGAACACTTTCCAAGCACAAGAATCGCCATAACAGGCATAGATTATTTTGCAATTTCCCGAGACTGCTCCGAGCTATAGAATGGAAGATGGCGACTCTTTTAGTATA